TGGCAGCCTCATATGCGCCCGATGCTCACAGATTGGCCACGATTCTGAAAATTGTACCGCTGTGCCTTTGTGTATAAATTGCAAGGGTGAGCACCCAGCATTTTCACGCCTGTGCCCAAAATGGAAATCCGAAAAAGAAGTGCAGACTGCAAAAGTTACCAGGAACATCTCATATGCCGAAGCCAGAAGATTAGTCCAACGCACGCAGCTTTAACCAAATAAATCATATACAAGTGCTGTTAAATCATCTCGTACAGTATCCACCCAAACATCAATAAATACGCAGATTCTACGAAATAAAACTCAACCGATTACATCCACCAAGAAAAAAGAAAATTCAAATCATTTAGTACAAAATAAAGAAACAGTTATTCAAAGTAAACCCAAAACTGCCACACAAGAAATATTAAATTAAAATAGAAGTCCCAGCAATAGCTCTCTTGATGAAATGATTTCTGAATCTGCGGATTCAGACAGTATGGAAATAGAAGAGGGTCCAGAAGTTCCCAGGCATCTACTTCCACGAAAAACAAACAGCACAGAAAGAACAAAAACCAATCATAATGGCCACCTTCGTCTCATGGAACTGTCACAGTTTCCACCGAAATTTGCTTGACATCAAAGCTATAATAAATGTGTATCATCCTGTGTGCTTAGCAATACAGGAAACAAATCTGAAACCAGAACAACATGCAAAACGTCGGAGGTTTTCTTTCACCAGGAAAGATAACCTTGCAGGTGAGCGTGCCAGTGGAGGTGTAGGTCTCCTCACCTCACTGGATTTTCCATCAAATGTGCTTTCTTTAATGACATCCCTTTAAGTTGTCGCTACTCAAACAAATTTTTATATTGTTGTTTCATTTGTTTCTCTGTATTTGCCTCCAAATGAGCACATTGATCAACAAGATTTAAATGGTCTTAGAGCAGCTGCCTGAGCCCTTTATCATAATAGGAGATTTTAACGGCCATAGTCTGCTCTGGGGTAGTAAAGATACAAAATGCTAAGGAAGACAAATTGAGCAGATGATTGAAGATCATAGCCTTTGTCTCCTGAATAATGGGCAGGATCCTTACTTCTATGATCCTTCAAGTACATTCCGTGCTCTCGACCTTGCCATCTGTTCACCATCTCTGTTTCCATTTTGCACTTTTAGTGTGGGAAACGATCTTTACAACAGCAATCACTATCCCATTTTTATATCTCTTGGCCTTTGTCTCCTGAATAATGGGCAGGATACTTACTTCCGTGAGCCTTCAAGAACATTCCATGCTCTCCACCTTGCCATCTGTTCACCATCTCTGTTTCCATTTTGCACTTTTAGTGTGAGAAACGATCTTTACAACAGCGATCACTATCCCATTTTTATATCTCTTGCACGAAGAGGAGCAAACCCCATGTCCAGATCCCCTCAGTTCATACTCGATAGGGCAGACTGGTAACTCTTCTCTTCCATTGCAGAGCTGACAGATGAAATGGTAGAAGATGTGCATGTCGATAATGCTGTTAAAGCTGTTACTAATACTATTATTCAGGCAGCTATGCTTTCCATTCCTAGAACATCGGGAAAAATACTAAAATATATGAAGCCATGGTGGAACTGTGACTGTCATGAAGCACGGAAAAAACAGAAGAAAGCATAGGGAATTTTTCATAGATATCCTAATTTGCAAAACCTCGTAGCATTTAAAAAAGCCAAAGCAAATGCACGAAAAGTAAGAAGCAGAGCCAAAGGGATTCCTGGATTTCATGTGTGTCATCAATAACATCCTCTTATGCCTAGTAAATGGGTTTGGGAAAGAGTTAAAAAAGCATGCAGAATATATAAAGACCACTCACTTTCCTTTCTGGAAAAAGATGGGCGAGTGATTAGCTCCATAGAAGAAATTGCGAATACTGTTGGTGAGACATTTGCTGCTGTTTCTTCCAGCAGAAATGACTCACCTGCATTTCTTTCTATCAAGCAGCGCTCTGAGAGAAATCCCATCACTTTCAACTCTTCCAACTTTGAGCCTTATAAGAAAGACTTTACTGTGCTAAGAGCTTTGATACAGACTCATAAGTCTTGAATCTGAATGGCGGGTATTATGAAATGCTGAACCATCTGTCCTATAAGTCACTGACTGCCCTGTTCACTCTTTACAATAGGGTGTGGAAGGAGTGTACTTTTCCCAGTGCATGGTGGAGAGCTGTTGTGATTCTTATTTTTAAGCCAGGGAAAGACCCAAGGAATCCCTCGAACGATTGGCCAATTGCCCTTACAAGTTGTGTATGGAAACTGTTTGAAAAGATGATAAACAGCCGCCTAGTCTACTTCTTGGAAAAGAATAATATTATATCGCCTTATCAAAGTGGTTTTCGAAATTGGAGAATGACCGTACATAATATGCTCCTTTTAGAGACATCTATTCGAAAAGCTTTTGTCAGAAGAAGTCACTTTGTCTCAATATTCTTTGACATTGAGGAAGCTTATGATAAGGGATGGAGATACGGTATAATTCGGAATCTTGATGAGAGTGGCTTTTGCGGCAATCTACCAATTTTCATTCAGAATTTCTTGAATACTAGAACTTTTCAAGTAAGGATTGGTTCTGTTTTGTCTGACGTTTTTGAACAGGAAGAGGGTGTGCCTCAAGGGTGTGTGCTTAGTGTAACCCTTTTCAGTTTAAAAATAAACTCTGTTTTAAAAGAACTTCCTCCCACCATCTTGGGATCTCTATATGTTGATGATCTACAGATTAGCTGTCGAGGGGCAGACATGAGATACGTAGAGAGGCAATTGCAGATGGCTCTGAATAAGATCCAAGAATGGTTTGACAAACAGGGATTTACTTTCTCGAAACAAAAAATTGTGTGCGTTCACTTTTGCAGGAAGCGAGGTCTCCATCATGAACCTGAGTTATATCTGAATGGTACAATTATTCCAGTTGCGCCTGAGGTAAAATTGTTAGGAGTGATGTACGACCGAAAATTGACCTTCCTTTCTCATGTTTTAAACCTGAGAAAGAAGTGTTTAAAAACACTAAATATTTTAAAAGTGTTGCGAACACCTCCTGGGGTGCAGAGCATAGCTCCATGCTTCCCATTTACAGAGCGCTCGTCCACTCTAAACTGGGCTATGGCTCAGTTGTTTATGGATCCGCTCGGTCATCAGTTTTGTTAAAACTAGATCCTGTTCACCATCGAGCTCTGCGGATTTGTTCAGGAGCTTTCAGGACTTCTCCTGTCCAGAGCTTTTATGTTGATGTTAACGAACCATCACTTTATCTGAGGCGTGAGCAATTGTCCCTTTTGCTATATTTTAATATTCTATCGCAACCTGAATATCCTAATAAGCTGTGCTTACATGATAATGTGTGTAACACTTTATTTGAAACACTTCCATCCGGTGTGCCTACCTTTCCTTTTTTAAAAAGTGGAATTGCTGAAAAAAATAGATAAAGGTATATCCGTCTCAAAATTATGCAAGGAGTATGGCATTGGAAAGTTAATTTCATGTGAATTCCGACATTCCACTCTCAATGAATAATAGAAAAATTATTTATTATGCTAAAAGTGAAGATCATGAAAAAGTGATGACTGAATGGGGCAGATAGTGTGGCAGGGAGGGCATGCCACTGACTAGTCCAGTGCTAATAGTTCATGCTAAAATATTTCACAAGGAAATGAACTTAAAAATATAGTACAGGCTGGTTAACCAAATTTAAAAATCGCCGTGGTATAAGACAATTAAAAATTTCATGTGAAAATGCTTCAGCTAATACTGAACTATTTTCAGATGAATTCATTAACCACTTGTATAAACACAAGTGTAACTTTTCAAAATCGCAAAAAATACACAACCTTGAGCATTTAAAGGAGTAAAGATTTTCCCCACTATTTATCCTGCAAATAAAAGAGCTTGGATGACACAAGCGTTAACGAATGATTGGTTTGAAAATCATTTCGTACCCAAGGCTTGGCAACATTTGAATTCAGTTGGTTTACCTGATGATGCAAAAATTATCCTGATCATAGACAACTGTTCAGCTCATACTTCACTTAAAATTTTAGTGAATGATAAGTTAGCCGTATTATTCTTTCCTCCAAATAGCATTCAGCATTCAGCCTATGGATATCGGAATAGTGTATGCACTGAAAATGCAAATATAAAGTAGAATTTTTAAAATCCATGTTCAATTTCTTGAAATGGCAAGACTATTGAAGAATTCTTAAAATATTTTAGCATAAAATCTGCTTTGTGGAGCATTGCAAGATCATGGGAGGATGTGTCTCCAGGTATTTTTAAAATTGCTTGGCAGCGACCATATTTCATGGTGAGGATGATGAAGATAATAACGACGAATTTGAAGGTTTTTGGATATCGCAAACCAAAGGTGAAATTTTCCAATTAATTGATTACCGATAGTGAAGAAAGTGATAAAGAGGTTATTGAAAACGAAAACATTTCAATTAACAAGTTAATTGGAATTCTCGACAGAGCAATTACAGAACTTGAACAGTGGAACTTGGTAACTGAACAAGAAATTATGTCTGTCTACCAAATTAAAGAGAAAGTATTAGCACAAAAAGAGCAATTTAAACAACTTATATTGAAAGAAATGTTTAATAAAGTAAATAAATTTATATTAGTTTTTTTTTTTTTTTTTTTTTTTTTTTTGTAAATTTGATACCCTTTAGATCAAAAATGCTTCATAAATCATGATTTCATATTTTTAATTTTATAATTTCTACATGCCATCTTACTGGTTTTAAACAGATGGATTTAATATCCAAAAAAGTCCCAAATGTGGAATTGCCAAAGTCCCGATGAGTCTGGATCTCGGACTTCGTACTGTATATCCTTTATCAACCATGCTTGATATTTGTTTATTAATTTATGTCAGATGAAAACAAACTTAAGATATGAAGCACTATTTTATTATTACCATGTTTATAATTTTAATATAAATTTTTTATTTATTATAAATAGTTTTTGAATATTGTTGTGTATTTTTTATAGGTTGAGACATCTAAAGTACTTTTAAAAGAAAATGGTGTCAATTTAATCCTTACTGTGGTGGATACTCCAGGCTTTGGTGATGCTGTAGATAACTCTCAGTGGTAAATGAAAGTTTGTTTTTCTTTTAATGTATAAAAAATCATTTGTCACCCAACTGGGATAGTGGTTAGCTATGCTGACTTCGAGCCCCGGGATCGAATCACGACGAAGGCATGGATGTTCATAAATGTATGTGGACTCTAATTCATAAATGTATGTGGATGTTCATAAATGTATGTGAACTCTCTGTGCATGAGGACTCTAATTATGTGGCAAGCTGAAAATCCTCTTGAGAGGTTGTTGATAGGAGAAGAGGGGCAGCAGATCTTCATATCTCTTTCCCCATGGTTACTGGGGTTACTGTCCATTAAAATTGGGGACGGAACTGAGCAAAGTTGCACTGTCACCTATATTATGCTCAAGGCTATTGCCAGCGACACACGCAGTCTTTCACTCCTTGCCATGATGAATTTCGGGGGCTTGTTCTTATGTTACTGTCAGACAAGTAAGATAAGTCACAACAATAACAACACAACAAATTAATTTTACCCCTTTTTTAGCGTGTGAATGTTTTTTTTTTTTTTTTTTTTTTTTTTTTTTTTAGAATATTCTAATTTTTGTGGTGGTATTCAGGTATGGATCCAAGAATTGGAAGTGCCCTATCTTTGTTTTTGATTTGCATGAAAAAAAAAAAAAATAATGAGATTTAGAGCTTGTGCCTTATGCTGTGTGTTAATGATTGCAGAGAGGTTGATGCTTGGCAAAAATTTGTCTGTTTAATAAAAAAGAGATTGCATAATAACACATTCACTGCCATATACAAGAATACTTGTAGTTGGCTAACTGGGTTTACTTGTTAGCTATGAGATAACATATTATTAATCGCCTTATCTGAAATGACCAAGTGTGAGTATTGCCATAGTAAATGTGTGCAATGTTTAGGTTTTGGCATGCAAGAAGGGACTGAATAATGTGCATGGTGTACTGAAATGGATCATTTATTTCTCAAGACCTAAAATCGCATCATTTATTTTTGAAAACTGTCACTAAATATTTAGGTTACAAAGTCTTTTTGGATTTATTCACTTGAGAAATGTTACAAGTGGATTACAAAAATTTTTATTTGTTAACTTGTATTAAGACTAATAGAAAATAATGAATTACATTTGAGGAGTTTGGTGGTAATCCACAGAGAAGGTAGGTATTGTTTATCTAATCCAGAGTTATGGTTGCCACATAGAGCTTCATATGCAGAAATTCATTTTAAAAATATTATTTATACATGTATACTCTTGTGAATGAACACACTTAATTACCTTTGGCATGTAGATGTGATAGATTGCGTTCAGTAAACATAATATGTAACATTCAGTTTTAGTCTTTAATTTATGAAAGGCATGGGACTGTTAGTCATACTGCATCGTTTATTTAGTTGTAAAAGAGAAACTATATATTAAGTTTAATATTTCCATTGAAGCAGAACATAGCATCTAAATTGACTCTTTCCATGTATTTCTCACTAAAATTTCTGAGAATATGTGTTAATCAAAGTTTTATTGGTACTTTCTGATTATCTGCCCCCCCCCCAATCCAATTCACCAGTTCATTGGCAACTTTCTGAATTGGTAATAAGCTTGTGTATGGTTATCTTTGTGACTCGCAGCTAATCTGATTATAAATAATAATAAAAAGAAACATTTCAAAGTAGCATAATCAAAAAGTATGTATTGTTATTATGGCTGATTCAAGAAAGCATCTTTGAATACAAAATCATAAATAAGTGAAATACAGAATTTTAAATTAGTTCCTAATTTGCAACTAGGAAAATAGAAATGTTAAAAAAATTGTTGAAATTATTAATCATCCAGAAGCTTTAATATAAAAATAATTATTTAAAGCATGGTAGAGTTAAAAATGAAAGAAGACTTGGCGTACCATGAAAACGGTCCTTCAAAATACAATAAAATTTCAAAAATTATTAAAATAATAAGAAATGAGTACTCCTTAAATTGCAAGAAAACTTTATTGAATGATGTGGAGTATGTTCAGAAACTGTTAACATTGTGATTTGGTATTACCATTTGATTGTTAACAAATGGTAAAATTAGATCAATACAGAAATCAAATGAAGGGGAAAAAATTCTGTATTAGGGAAAGAAAGAAAATTTCAACCTCTATTCAAGTAAAAAAAATTCAGGATTTTCTTAAAAGCTATATGAAATAAGAATTAAAAATACTAGAGTATTGTTGTGTGTGCTGAATGAAGTTAATATTTTTGGTTATGATGATCATCCGTTGAATGAGATCCAAAAAAAATTTCAAAATCTGGCCCTAATTTCAACTGTAGAACATGGTAGAAGTGGAAGAGTAATGTGGGAATGTAAAGGGGTTGGGCAAAAATATTTAAGCAACGAAATAAAAACATGTGACTAATATCCTGTGGGAAAAGCGTTGTCATTCAAAACAGCCTGCAGTCTTCTCGGAATGGATAAATAGAGGTCTTGTATGCTTTGCGAGGGAATCTTGTATCATTTTGTCTGTAAAATATTGACAAGTTAAGTTAATGATGATGGGACGGTTAGTGCTCACATATATTTCTCCCCAAAATAGTCTATAAAGGCGTAATAATATTGATATCTGGTGACAGAGGTGGCCATGGTAATAGTGAAAGTTCATCTTAATGCTCAGAAAACCAATCCTGGCTGATGTGAGCTGAGTGATGTCGTCTTGGAATATGGCATTACCATTCGGGAACAAAATTTGTACCATGGGATGGATGGTATCAGCCAAAATTGTCACATAATCCTTGACAGTAATGTGACCTTGCACATACCCTTGGGATGGTGTTTGCCAGATATAAACTCAATAACAAGGTCACACAAAAGGGAAGCTCACTCACAAATATGGAAATTAGACATGCACTTTAGGGTTTTGCTTCGTAGTGAATGGAAAATATGCTGATTTGAAAGCATGCTTTTGGAGATTGTTAATTTCAGTTTCAGGTGAGAGAATAAGGAACACGAGAAATGGTGAGAGAATAAGGAACACGAGAAATTTTTCCTTAGGTAACGAGGTGGTCTTCAAAATAAACCTTTACAGTTGGTTAAAGAGGGGAAACTATTTCCTAAGGCCAGCTTTAGATGCAAAATATTTGTCTTTGGAAGGAAAATATCCACTGGTTCTGTCTGACAATCCCCCCCCAAGCGGGGCTTTGAGATGGGCTTATACTTTACATTTTTTGTAGATATATTCTTGAGGAAAGTTATATATTACTACCTTACTGATTGAAAAATTTAAAAAGCCCCCATAGGAAGCCCCTGAAGCTCAAAATTGAAATGAGAGCTTTGAGTTGTATCAAGACCCTCAGGGAGCTCACTTTTGTGAGTACGGGTGTGGCGATCCCGAGGTACCCTAGCCCTTCAGGGGATCATCTTCTTGGTGAGACGGGTGTCACGATCCTGGAGCCCCAGTGATCTATCCTCTTTTCCGTCTCCTCTCCTCTTGGCTGGAACTTTTTCCCTTCCCTTCTCCCTTGTGGTTTCTCTCTACGGAGTTTGGGGCTCGTCACGAGAGACTGGAGCAGCCCTTATCTCTAGTTTTCGAGTGGCGAGAAAACTGCCCACGTGTTTGCCGTGCATGGAGACCCGTGTCGCTGAAAGGAGGGTCCTGGTAGTTGAGGGGCGAGGTACTGTCCCCCAACACACTACTTTGGCCTCTGCTTCAGCTAAATGGAAGGCACCTTAGTCGTCCTCACGGGTGTCAATCGTGGTCACTAGTCCTTGTGTCAGTGGCTTGGGGTCAAGCTCTCGGGAGTACCTGCTTTCGGAAAAGCCGACTGTGGGGCTTCAGTTTGCGTATAGGTCCGGCTAGCCCTAACACAGGAATCTGTGTTCCCTTGTTGGGCTCCGTGGTGGGTCTTATACTATTTTTCAATCATGGCTTCCCTTTTTATTTTAAAAAAACCCGAGTCAAATGATACCAACAAAGATATAGAAATTGTCGACAAATCTATTAACAAGAAGATCTGTGCTGATGAAAATACCAAAGATATTGAAGTTAGTGACAAATCCATTACAAAGAAGATCCGTACCAATGCAAATGCCAAAGAATCTGCTGATTGTCCGCGCTTTGTTGTTGTTTCCAGTGCCTCTGGAGAATTGCAAAAGATGTCTCCTTTCCTGGTCAGCAAATGCATTCATTCCTGCGTAGGTGAGCCAAGGAACATAAAGTTCTGGAGACTTGCTCATTGATACCCTTTCGGCCACCGAGTCTGCTTCACTTTTACATCAAACCAAACTTGGACAAGTAGCTATAACAGTGTCAGCACACAAAACACTTAATACCTGTAGAGGCGTGATCTCGGAGATCGACCTTCTGTGTGTTTCAGAAGAAGAGTTCGTCTCCGAGTTAGCTGACCAAAATGTCTGTGGTGCTAGGCGGATCAAGATGCGAAAGGAAGGCCAGTTGATTGACACGAAACACGTGATCCTGACCTTCAAATCACCTGATCTGCCGAAGAATATAAAGGCTGGGTATCTTAACTGTCCCATAAGACCATATATTCCAAACCCAATGCGATGCTTCCAATGCCAGCGGTTTGGTCACTCTAAGACATCCTGTCGTGGCACCCTTACGTGCGCCAGATCCTCGTTGGTTGGCCACGATAGTGAGAATTGCACCACTGCACCATTGTGTGTTAACTGCAAGGGTGATCACCCAGCATTTTCTCGCTCTTGTCCAAAATGGAAATCTGAAAAGGAAGTTCAGACCATAAAAGTTTCTAGGAACATTTCATATGCCGAAGCCAGGAGACAAGTTCAAAGCACCCAGCCTCAGTCAAACAAATCATACGCCAGCGCCGTTAAATCAACACGCACTATAGCCACCTAGACTTCCATAAGTACACAGACTCAACCAAATAAAACACAGCAACCTGCAAACAAGAAAAAAGAAAATACAACACATATCGTACAAAATAAAGAAATAGCTATCCCGAGCAAACGCAAAACTGTGCCTCCAAAAATAGTAACAAAAAGAAGAAGCCGCAGCAATAGTTCTGTAG